AATAATAATAATAATTAACACTCCTTTATGCATGTGCAAGCCCTGTTCTTCGAAGGCCAACCTCGTGAATTTCATAAGATTAATAAGAAATATATGTTCTCTTCGATATAGTATAAGGTTATTGAAATTTTATGGTGCTCAAAATAAATATATATATATAGTATAAGTTATTGTAGTTATTATCAAGTGTTTTAGATTAAAACACATTATATTTAAATTCACTTGTTTTCTTAACATATATTTAGAATTTGTTTGGTAGGCTACTTTAAAAAAAAATAATTTGAGAAAACTAACTGAAATTGCACACGACTTGCTTTAAAAAATTTAGTTTCTTAACATGTAAATTGAGATACAAAATAATTAATTATGAAAAGATTGATAATGTATTATATTACTATTTTTTTTAAAAGATTTTTTTTGAGGTTTTTTTTTTTTAAGATATATTTGATTGAACAAAAGAAATAATTGATTACATTATATAATCACTTATTTCTCTAAAATAATCAATTATATTATAAATATAATACATTATTAATCTTTTCATAATTAATTATATTTATCTTCTTTTTAACTAAAATTAAATAATTAATTATATTATCTGTTAATTTACATACCAAGAAAATAAATAAATTTCCTAAATCAAGTCATGTGTAATTTTAGTCGACTTTGACGGAGTCGTTTTCCGAAGAAGTGGTCTTACCAAACAGGCTTTCAGAGTCAAGGCCGCCTCCCCCTGCTTCCGCCTATTTGTTTAGTCAAGTTCACATGACAGGCTGGGACCTATGCATGTGGGGTGTGAGGAACTCACGTGGCAAGTTCTGTAGAGTAAATAGCCCTTTTTTTCTTCTTTCTTTCTTTTCTTATTATTATTATTATTATTATTTTGAATAAATATAAATTTTAAAAGATAAAAAATTCAAATCAACGTCGTATTGATGAAACTGCAATTTCAAAACTGGCTATTAAGTAATTAGCTCACAAGGCTAGGTGTGAGCTAAGTACATAGCTTGTTTTATTTGAAGAAATGGGAGGTAAGAGGAGAAGGATAAATTATCTTATTTAGATAATAAAAATTAGAGGGTAAGAGTTTTTCTTTAATTTTCCTTGTAATTTTAACATAACCAAACGAAGAAAGGGTATATAGGGGGATACTATTCTCTTATATTTCCCTAGAATCAAATATAAGATAAGAGTTCTATATTTTCACGTGAAAAAATATGTTAAGAGGAAAATCTCATAATTGGAAGATTAAAAAAGAATGTACACTTGTAAATAAAATATAGACTGTTGTTAAAAAAAATATATATATATATATAGACTATTTATTAATTTTTTGGTAGAAGAAATATAAACTATTTTACTAATTATTAATTGATTTTAAGTTAAATAATTATATTGTGTTAAGATCAACTCATTTTTCCTAAGGTGCCAAGGGCACTGAAAATTTGTTAAGCTTTGGCAAATTATGAGAATTAATCTAGAAATCAGGTGGTACCTATTGCCAATTTACCATAAGTAGCATAAAAAGAAAATAATTAAAATGTATTACTTTCTTTCGGAATTAATTGTTGCACTTCAGACATAATTAGAGCTAGAGACAACTGTTTTGGAAGTTGCATGAATTATATATTTTATAATTATTGGTAAAAAAATCTTAATATTAGAGAATTTACCCCTTATTAATAATTATAAGATATACAGTTCCTACATTACTTTATTGTTATAAATAATACTTCTATATAATATATGGTTGATAATTATTAATATTTTTTTATCAATTAAAATTATTTATCAAAAACTATATAAACAATCGCTAATTATTTAACATGAGATTTTCTTTAACTTATACCTTTATAATACAACTTAAAAATATATTAATTATACTTTTTTACATTAAATTTTTATAA